CGCGCCGCCGCCGCTGGGGGACTGGCACCACTGGGTCCTAAAGGGATCGGATTTCCGGGGCCGGAGCCTGTGAGCCCTCCCCTTCCCCTCCCCCCTGTCGCCTCATCTCTCCTACTCATAGTTGGCGGACAGCCTTCCGCAGCTCCTCGGACCTTGGCTATTCTTCTTCAACCCTCCCATCCCAAACTCGGCGGCTTTTCACAACCCACATAGGCGTCCCCTCATTTAACCCTGGGGGGCGGGGAACCATCCAGACACAGCCGTCTGGATCCTGCCTGGCCTGATCCTCCCCCAATATGAAGGGGTTCTGTGAGGAGGAGCCCTGAATCACTCACTCAAAGGTCCTTAGAGTGTTCAGGGTTATCAGCGTCAAAACTGCTGGGTGCTAGGTCAAAGCACATATTTCTAGCTCCTTCCAAACTTAGGGCAGGGGATCTCAGAGGCAGGACCTGGGAGTCTGCATTTTAACAACTCCCTATAGGGCACTTTTTGCATCTTCCAGGATGTAAAACTTTGGCCCAGGATTACTCGCGGTGCTGAGGAGAAATGAAGAAAAGGGGGGTTTACATCACCCAAGTGACAGGAGATTTCCAAAGCTCCCTTTGCCGTTGAAAGTCTTAAGATGGTGCTCTTCACCTGCCCACTCTTTTTTCAGGCTTCGAGAGGAGTGGCGAATCCTGGCCTTCATAACCTGCCAGAAAACCATCTCTCAAAACAGGAAGAGTTGGGACGGGATTGGGGGGTGTAGGAAGGAATGATTCTAGAGGCCTGGGACCAAAGTTTCCCTATTGAGGGGGGGGGGTACGTTAATCTCAGCATTTGCGAGGCAGAGGCAGGCAGATCTAGAGTGCCAGGACAGAGAAACCGTGTCTCGAAAAAGCAACAACAACCAAGTGTGTGTCCTAACAAATCCCTTCTTGAAAACTCAGCTTCTTTAGAGTTCCTTCATTCCTCACATACACAAGGGACCTGGTGTTGCCCATTATCCCTCCCCAGTTGCCTGGAACCTGGCAGTGAGGATCCATCCAATATTCAGGTCGAATTGTGTGTGTTGCTTGGGTCTGTAGATCCCAGGAACTGAGGAACAGAGTGGACACTAGGACCCAGAGAACAACTCAGGCACAAAGCCTCTCCGCCCCCCCCTCCCCTCCAGCTGCTTCCTGCATCTCAGGCCTTCCTGCGGCCTCGGCCTCCTCCCCCCGCCCTCTTCCCCTCCATCCTCTTCCTCCTTTTCCCATTCTCCCACTCTCTCCCGTTGGCCTGGCCGAGCTGGTGGAGAGAGCCCTCCTACCTTTCCATTCTCGGTGTGTGGGTTTTGTGGGACACTAACCCATAGCACGTGCAAAAGAGCTCAGTGCGTGGGGGATGGGACGTGGGGAAACCGCTTGGGAACCCTGAAGATTGGGATGGGGAGGAGCCAAGAACCACTGGACTGGCTCCCTCGAGTGGTGTGCCAGGAGAGGGAAGATTTTGGCTCTCATCTGGAGCTGGACTTCAGGCTTTCAGATGCCCCTATTTTTGCACAGCAGGCAGGAGACTTATCCCTCCCCAGTTCCGCACTTGGGGGATCTGTGCAGGGTAAAGAAGCCATCCAGGTGCCTCCTCACCTTTTGACCCTTCATAGAAACCCTCTTTCCTGAGCAAGCTTTAGGACTTGTTTCCAAGTTTAAGTCTAGAATTTGAACCCTCCACCCTACTCCCGACTATGGCAGTTGGTTGGTGGTTTTGTTTGTGTGTGTTTTGTTTTGCTTTTGAGACAGAATCTGGAGTATCTCTTGCTGGCTTTGAACTAGCCATTGTAACCAAGGATGACCTTGAACTTCTGATCTGACTGCCTCCACCTCTTGAGTGCTGGAATTACAGGCTTGAGGATCTTCCCGGGCTTCCTTGCATGCTAGGCGTGCACTCTAGCAACTGAGCTATCTCCAGCTCCCACTGTGATAGTTGGGCGATGCCCTGCTGTTCACCCTATTGCTTGCTGGGAATTTGAGCCTTGTGTCTTTACAGCTCCTGTGTGGATTGGGGGAGGGCGCAGGCCCCTGGGTGTTATGCCCAGAACCTCCCACACCCTTTGTGGTGAGTCATCTTTACTGGTCCCAGCCCAAGGGGTCTGTGCCCACACTCAGAGGCCAGGTGGGAGGAGGAGTTGAGAACCAGCTGTTGGCCCCTTCCCCCAGCATCCTTGGCAGAAATTTAAGATGAACTGGACTTAATAGGTACCCTCAGGTTTCCCTTGTCGGTAGTTTCTCAGAGTGAGACCTCTTTAAGGGCTTTGGGATGTGAGAAAGTAGAGTGAGCTCGGAGCTTGGGTGACTGAGGCTAATAAGGAGAGATTATTATTTCCTGGGCTTCTGTATGGCAGAGCAACAACCAAGCTGGAATTTTACCATCACTCTTTCCTTAGAGTAAGGCACCAAAACAATCTGCTTATGATTGTTTGCCCCTGCCCCTATGGGTGGGGCACGCAATGTCACCTCCTCCATCCAGTCCCTGCCCAGCTGAGGTAAACTTTCATTCCTCAGGCCATAATGTTCACCTATTCCCACCTATTTGGTATCCCTGGATAATTTAAAACTTTTGATCTCCCCAGGACCTATGTGGAAGGAACTTTGATGTCATGGCCGCTGTACTTGGTGGTCTTGGGAAGGAAATTCCGTGCCTTTGCCCTGTGTGGGGGTAGGGGTGGAGTGGTTCCCAAAGTTGAGCCAGGATTCAGGTCCTGGTTGTACCACTTACAGTCTGTGACCTTGTCATGTATCTCTTTTGTGCTCTGAGGGATAAACTGAGGACTGGGAGAATTGCCAGCAGCTTCGATGTTTATGGCCAGGGGTAGGGGGAAGGAGATGCCTTCCCAGCAATGGCCAAATGGTGGGAACTGTTGCACTAGGCGATAATCCTCCCTCTCTCCTGGATAAGCCCTTCCTTGTTTTCTCACACCCCATCTGATGAGGCCCCTCTGGGAAGGTGCTCTGGGACGTCATGCCTGGAGGCTTGTTGGCTTTAAATACCAGGTATAACAGCAAAGATGGTGATGAAGACTGGTGGGGAGAACCTGATGTACGATAAGTTCCCAGCCTTCAGCACCCTGGGCTGGGAGCCAAGGCTGGCTGCTCTTCCCAGCATTGGGCCTTTGAGACAACTTCTGACAGTAGTTTTTGTTTTTGTTTTTTTTTTTTTCCTGGCCACTGTCATCAGAGAAGAAGCTGCCCTTTGCCTGGTCTATGGTAAGTCCATAACATTCACCCCAATGCCTCTATGTTGTTGGCCTTGAGCTAGTTCTGGGATCCAAGGAGGATATGCTTGTGTTCCCACACTTCCAAACAGGAGAGCTCAACTCTAGCATAGCGAGGCCCTTGGATAACCTAGTCACGGGACAGGAAGGCACAGGGGACAGGAAGGCAGGCATGAGCAGGTGTTCACTGTTTTAGAGACCCCCGCTAGGTTTTGCTGGTCTGAGTCCTGGCTCCTCCCATTTGCTAGATGGCCTTGGGCTAGTCATTTTGGATCCCATACTTGCTAACATGCTCAACTTGAATGTCTGAAATCTTCTGACCATGGATGACCCTGGGTGTCTCCTATTTCCTGTGTAGCACAGAATAAAGCAGGGCTTTGAAGTCAGACCATTTTTGTTAGAACCCGAAAGCTGTCACTTCCAAAATCAAGGACTTTGCCACATTTCTTTTTCTGTAAGCTGGAGATAATACACCAAACTCAAGGAGCCGCTGAGGGCACTAAATAGATCCTGAATTCAGAAAGCACAGAGGTGCTCAGAGTGTGGGCTGTCCCCGACTGCGACTGCACGTGGATTGGAGCATGTATGGGGGCTGCACATGAAGAGTGTGGGCAGGTGTGTGGCTGCGAGTGAGCACTGGCGCTTGCAGCTCAAGTCTATTTTCATGAGACACTGGGCCTCTGCTTTCTTTTCATGGTCCGTTATGTGAAATTCTGGTATGTAAGCGTTTCTGCCCATGGCTCTTCCAAATCTTTGTGAATAGTTTCTTCTTGCTGTGGTGGAGAGTGAACTCAGGGCCTCAAGCATGCCAGGCAAGTGTCCTGTCACTTAACTTCATCCTCTGCCCTGAGATCGGCTTTTTGAAGGTGACCTCCCTTCTAAACTTTTCAAGGGATCTTTTATTCCTGCCTCTTGGTGTGCCTCAAGTCTCTCATTGCATCTGAGAAGAGGACCTGTGGGGTCCTTCCTTCTTCCCACAGCTGGGAGATTGCTACTGCCTTTTATTTACTTATTTTTTGGGCTCCTGGCTTTCTTCCCATCAGTCTCACACTGTACTCTAGCATCCCTTGTAAAGTTAACATGCTTCTTGGAGACCAGGGAGGCATAAGTGTGTGTGTGTGTGTGTGTGTGTGTGTGTGTGTGTGTGTGGGTGTGTGAGTGTGTGTTGGGGGTGGGGGAAGGGATGAGACACAGCAAAGATTTCTCCAAATCCTCAGTCTTTTTAAAGGAAAGCCTATATTTAGCTGGGCTTAGAGGAGCCTGTAAATATGTATTTTGCAATGTCGTAGTTGTAGCCATGGAGCTCTAGAGACATGCAGAGAGGTCAAGGAAAAAGAAAGAAAGGAAGAAAGAAAAGCAAAGATTAGGCAATATAGTTTGTTACTAGCAAATCCATGGAGTTTCTATTGCCTGCTCCAACTGCTAAGAACTCACATTTCTGTGTTTTTGATGGCTACTATTTTTCATCTGCTTTCTGGACCATGTGCAAGGAAGAGACAACTTTCAGGCCTAACCTTCTCTGTTAGGCCTCTGCCCACCATCTCCCGTCTGACTGGCTCCACCAGGCTCTGCTGGGCTCCCATGCAACCTGGCACAGTTCAGTCCCCAGAATGCCAGTTTTTGCTCCTCTACCTTAGCCCCTTGCTCTTCAAGTAGCCTGGGGGTGGGGGTGGGGCAGAGAGTGGAAACGAGCAATCTTATTAGTTTGGGGCAATTCTACCTCATAGAACTCTTATTTTCTAATAATTTTTCTTTTTCTTTTAGTTTGCAAATTTTCTTTGAAAATAAGGAAAGTTCAGAAAACAGCATCACAGCAGAATTTACAAATGTCTGTATTGGGTCATGTTTGCTTCAGGTTTGTCCGTATAAATGATATTAATTTGGGAGGCTGGGGAGGTGACTTGGTTGCTGGTACACCTGTTGTGCAAGCATGAGGGCTTGAAGGCCATCCCAAGAACCCACGTGAAATTCAAGCCAGGTGTGGTGGCACATGGTTGTGATCCCAGAACTGGGGAGGCAGAGAGAGAACCCTTGGGGCTCAGAGGCTAGCTAGCCTAGCTTACTTGGGGCTAGTGAGAGACCCTGTCCCCTCCCCACCCCCCAAAAACCTGCAAAACTGTTTTCCATCTTCTCTAATGGAAACTCTGTCTCCAAGCACAGTAACTCCCTACTCCCTCCCTCTGCTGTCCCTGGCAACCACTTGTATCTGTGTGAACTTGACTCCTCTGGGTACCTTATGTAAACATCACACAGAATCTGTCCTTTTGTGCCTGGCTTGATTTTGCCTGGTTTACATAAATTGTAGCAAGTGCCAGCCCATAATCTCACCTCTTCCCATGCATTTCCATATTCATGGGAACAGCAGTGCTTTCTGAGTCTCCACAACCTGTGTAACAATAGCAAGTACTGTATTCGCCATTTGTACCTTCGCCACCCAAGATTTCTGACAGTGGGTCCTGATGTGTACTTCTATCTGTGGTTTGCACAGTCTAATTTCTGCTCCTCATTTTATCATGTGAATAAGCCACAATGTAGCTGTGGCTGATTCACCTGCTGACAGTGTTTGGGTGGTGTCTGTTTTCTAAGAAGGGTTGCAGTGAAACATCCTGGGATTTTATCTGAACCCATTCAGGATGTTACCTAGAAGCAGAAAGTCAGGTCTTTTGCTTGGGTGGGAATGTAGCCCTGTGGTAAAGCACAGGACCCTGGTTTTGATGCCCTACACTGAAAAAAAAAAAAAAGCCAAAAACAAAATAAAAACACAGGTAAAAAGCCCAACAAGAGAGTCTGGTTCAGTCAATAAAGTACTTCCCTTGCAAGCCTGAGGACCTGAGTTTGAACTTTGAACTCGGCTGTCACTGCCAAGATGTTCTTTGGAGCTGATGAATCCCCATCTACCACCAACTATAAAAGACCACATCTTGCCAACGTTTGCTTCCCCCGCCCCCTTTTGAGGCAAGGTCTTACTATATAGCCCTGGCTTACTCAGAACTCACTATCTAGACTAGGTTGCCCCCCAAATTCTGCCTGCACTTGCCTCCTAGGCTGGGATTAAAAAGGTGTATTACTATGTCCAGCTTCTACACTTTCTTTTGTGTATATGTGCACGTACATGATGGGTGTGAGCTCTCGTATGGTGGTTAGAGGACAAGCTCAGTGTCATCCCCGCCAAGGATGTCTACTTCTTTTGAGATAGGGTCTCTCATTGGTCTGTAGCTCACCGGTTAGGCTATACTAACTTAACTGGTCAGTGTACCCCAGGATCCTCCTGTCTCCACCCCCAGTTTAGATTGCTAGCATGTGCCACCATGCCCTTCCCCCACTCTTTGAAAAATGTTAAGTTCTGGGGATTGAACTCAGGTCCTCAGGCTTGCAAGGGAAGTACTTTATTGACTGAACCAGATTCTCTTGTTGGGCTTTTTACCTGGGTTTTTATTTTGTTTTTGGCTTTTTTTTTTTTTCAGTGTAGGGCATCAAAACCAGGGTCCCGTGCTTTACCAGAGGGCTACATTCCCACCTGAGACTTTGACTTTTTTTTTTTTTAATGTTTTTTCGAGACAGGGTTTCTCTGTGGCTTTGGAGGCTGTCCTAGAACTGGCTCTTGTACACCAGGCTGGTCTCGAACTCACAGAGATCTGCCTGCCTCCGCCTCCTGAGTGCTGGGATTAAAGACGTGCACCACCACCGCCCAGCCACCGGAGACTTCTTATTTTTGCTAGTCTGCTGGATATGACATAGCTCACCTTAATGTGCATGTCCTGACTGAGGTAAAGCATGTTTACTCGGCTCATTGTCCATCTGGGTTTCCTCTGAACAAATCACTTCAACTATAATTTGCTTTTGATGAAGGCTATAAAAAGCCTCCATGTAAGGACACCCCTGTCAAAGCTGGAGTGGCGGCACACACTGTTATCCCTAGTGCTGCAGAGGTGGAGATAGGCAGACACCTCCCACCCCTACCCCAGGAGCTCACCCGCTAGCCTAGCCTAATCAGTAAATCCCAAATATCAGTAAGAGAGAGACTCTGTCTCAAAAAAATGAGATGGATGATGGCTGGAGAGATGGCTCATTGGTTAACATCACTTCTTATTCTTCCAGAGGTCCTGGGTTCAGTTCCCAGCATCCACATAGTGAGTGGCATACAGTCATCCATAACTCCAGTTTCAAAGACCTCTCTTCTGACCTCTGTGTGCACGAGGCACACATGTGATGCATGGACATACATGTGAGGAAAACATTTATCCACATGAAATAATTCTGTGCATGCTCGGGGCATGGGGGGGGGGATTCCTGGAGTTGGTTAATTCAGGGACTCAACTGAGATATCAGGATACAGATTCTTTCATCTTTCTTTTCCACGTTCCTTTCAGGAGAGTAAATGCCACTCATGTGCTAACACTTAAGATGTTAGCTTGTCTCATAAACTGCCCCCCACCCCCCAAAGGTTCTAAGACTGCTGCTTCAACTCCAGGTGTTTCCTATAAGCAACAATGTCGAGATCCCGGAGACTGAAGACTGGGAGATGCATTTCATTTTAGAGTCTCTCTCAGAGCCACTGCTTTCCTCACATCAAACAACCTCCCTTTCCTGCTTGGTGATGTCTCTACACGTCCACACCAAAACCAATTGTTGGCCAAAGGAACAAAATCATTACTGTATTTTGACCAATTGTAGTTCATGGATGAGGCTAGAGAAGGGCCACCTGTCCCCAAAGCCTGACAGCCTGATGCAGTTCAGTGTTCTATGATGGAAAAGGAGACATGATGCCATTTAAAAGCACAAGATGCCTTTTTTAAAAAAAATAAAGATAGGGCTCTGCTGTGTGTGTATCATCTCTGGCTGGCCTCAGACTCACTATGTAGAGTATACTGGCCTCAAATTCAAGAGATTGGCTATCTCTGCCTCCCAATACTGAGATTAAAGGTGTATACCACCATGCCTAGCCTTGGTCAGTTTAAAAAAAATACTTTTAAGCTGGGCATTGGTGGTGAT